ATCAGGCTGGCAGGGGAGTTGTTAGGGGGTGATCAGGCTGGCAGGCAGAAGTGGTTAGGGGCAATCAGGCAGGCAGGCAGGCGAGTGGTTGGGAGCCAGCAGTCCCGGTGGGATCGGGCCTAAACAGGCAGTCGGACATCCCTCAAGGGGTCCCAGATTGGAGAGGGTGCAGGCTGTACTGAGGGACACCCCTGCACCCCCCCGTATGAATTTCGTGCACCGGGCCTCTAGTCTATAATAATACAAGCAAATCGACCGAATGGTGGAATGACCATCTAAATGACCATGCTATGACACCCGCTGGCACTAGGCCAGTCAAGGCGGGTGCCATGCGATTGGTTGGGGGCCTGGCCATTGCCCCATGATCGCCCCGCAGAGGGAGGCCCAGGCCATCTGCCAGCAGGGTGATCAATGAGGGCGCTCCACAATCGCCTCAGAGGGAGGCCCAGGTCACCAACTGGCGAGCTGTGGCGCGTGGGTGGGGCCTCCCTCTGTGGGGCGTGATCCATCGCACCAAAGAGGGAGGCCCAGGCCACTGGCTGGTGGGGCAATCAATCAGGGGCTCCGCGATTGCCCCAAAGAGGGAGGCCCAGGGGGTGTGTGGTGACGGACATGGGTAGCGCCAGGCCAAGGTGGGTGCGGGTGGGGAGCGGGGCCACGAGGCAGCCAGGGCCTCGAGGCATCCGTGGCTGCAAAGGCCTACCCTTGCACGAATTTTGTGCATTGGGCCTCAAGTTTTTAATAACCAACTGTAGTTTTATGTATTGTCTATAGTTAGGGGTAATTTGTTTTCTCTCTCTCTCTTTTTTGTTTCTTTTTGCTAGGGGTAATTTGTGATTTAAAAAGAGAATTATAACACTTCAGAATTCTTATATTTAAGATATCTATATTAAATCATTGGCCAGAAATTAGTATACTTTTTAGTAATATTTTTGGTATGAAAAACTTTAATGAAAACATTAACCATACAAAAATTAAATAGCAAAACCATTTAAAGTGACTTACAATTCAAACAGATTTGGCTTACTGATAATTCTCTATCAACTGATTATTTCCAGATATATTTCTCTTTCCAGTTACTATTTCCAGATAAAATCTTATTAATTATTTTCTCTACTTCCAGGGTCATCCTAAAGTGTGTGAAAAATTAAAGGCCCTTATGGTTGAATGGACAGATGAATTTAAGAATGATCCACAGCTCAGTCTAATATCGGCAATGATTAAGAACCTTAAAGAACAAGGAGTTACGTTTCCAGCTATTGGCTCTCAGGTATTTTATAAAGTTGTATGTGTGCTACAGTGTTTTTCTGAAGTAGCCATATTTATTATTACTTTTCACCCCTCCAAACCCAAGTAGCTTTTATTACTTTGAAGGATTTTTTTGTTAATAATAATCTTGCATTTCGAGGTGCCATAAAAATAGGGTGGAATATTAATGTGTTCTAACTTCTACTTTCCCACTGTTTCTCCTTTTTTTATAAATGAATTTGCTGTAACATTTGCAATTAAAATTTTTTAAAATTTAGTTCTAATATAGACAAAATTATTACATCAAGTAAGTCTTATTAAATGCTCTTAATGCTATCATCAAAATAGGGATATCCTTAAAATTTAAAGATGAGTTTAGAGGTTTTTTTTATTATGAAATTTATGAATACCTGTATTAAAAGTGGGAAGGAGATATAAAGGGGTCAATGGGAAGAGAAGCACATGAAGCATTTCTTCCCTTCATAAAACCTGACCAGTGGCTTCATCTTTTTCCTTTCTCCTAATAAATATGACTGACCAAAAGGCTTAACTTTCCTTTTCAAAAAATTATGTAATGAGACTGATGTCTAATTAATGTCATATAAAAAATGAAAGGGGCCCAGCTGGGTGGCTCAGTTGGTTGGAGTGTTGTCCAGTACACCAAAAAGGTTGTGGGTTCGATTCCCAGTCAGGGCACATACCTAGGTTGTGGGTGCAGTCCCCACAGGAGGCAACCAGTGTTTCTCTTTCTCTCTCAAATCACTAAACCTATTTCTGTAAAATGCTTAGACTCTTATCATTGAAAGGGGCTGCAGGGATTGGTATGTAAATCATCCATTCTCTCAGGATAGTAACAGGAATCCATCCCCAATACTCTTCTCTGAAGGGAGGGAGGGAGGGAGGGAGGGAGGGAAGAAAGAAATAAAAGAAAAGGGAGGGAGGGTATTTCTTTTATTCTTTTTCTATTCTGGGTAACCATCCTTTAGCATGCCCAACTAATGAAAAGGGTTTAAAATGTATGTATTGGAGTAAAATGTAATGAGTGGTACAAAAGCATGAGCAGAAAATCTCAGCTGTCAAGGATTCAAGTTTGGGGTTTTGACCACTTTAGGGAATCATGAACTGATTCATCCAGACTTATCTAGACTTTCTCCAAGGCACTTCTACTTTATCTGTGTACTTTTGAACTGTAAAAAAAACCCAGAAATATACTTAGGAGAGTAAGGAAGGGAGGATATTTTACTTCTTTCTTCAAAAAATTTGGCTTTTGAATAGTTTTATAATGATAAATTATATCTTTTAGAAGTATTCATGACTGACAGCTGGCTTTTACTACTCTCAGAATAATTTCTAAATCTATAATTACAGAATAACTTTATGCAGAATAATCCAAGAGTCTTATAAGTTTCTTGACAATAGAAGCAATGTTTAATTATCAAAGTAGATTCTATAGAGAACCAAAGTGTAGATGCTTAATGGAATTGTAATTTCTATGCCTCAAACCTTTTCTGGAGCTTGTTACTCAAAATTTGGTTCATTGACCATCATCATCATCATGTTGTTAGAAATTCGGCATCCATGGATTTATTATCTTCCTTTTATCAAGATCCTGGATGATTCTGTATACACATTGAAGTTTGAGAAGCACTGCTCTCAAATACAGCTTTCAGTGCAAGGGACTTGTTTCTATAAGAGAAGGAAGAATTAATGATCTGTTTGATATATAGCACTTTTTGGTTAACCTAGACTCTCAGTTGTGGGGACATCTTTAGGGATTCTCTAATCTAATCCCCTCATTTTACAGATGAGGAAACTGAGACCCAGAATGATTAAGTGACTTGCCCAGGGACACTTGGGCAAGAGTAGTCGACAGAGCTGGAAGGAGAACACAGGGTTCCTGACTTTCAGTCCAGTGTTCTTTCCACTACACCATTCTGCCTTCCTTGATATAGAAGTTAGTGGATATGTGTCTGTCCAGACTAGGCTTCAAAGGACAAGAAGTGGAGTGAACACTGGCAAGAGGATTTGATTGATTGATCGATTGGCATAGAAGTTAGGTTACTCTCCTGCTCAAAAGATTCAGGACGTAGATCAGCAACATTAAAGTTAAGAGCCACTTTTCTTCTTTTCATCTAGATGTTACGAAATACATGAAACCTAATTTTATTATAGTTGCTATCATTTAGCCACAGGAAATATATAAAATGCATATAAAGTACAATAAGATGAAATAGAATGGGTTTTTTTTATACTACTTTCTGAAAAGTGTATCATTGAAAACCCTGTTTGTAAAGAACCTTATGTTTAATGAAAATGTGTCATCTAGGGAAAAAAGGGAAGATCTGTAATACTTTGAACAATAAAGCTAATTTTTTTTTTAAAAGGAGTCATCTAGTATCAACTGTAGAAGTCCCTCTAGATTTTGAAATCACTTTGTTGTATGTCATCACATTTAGTCAGAGTAGATTTTTGTTAACATTCTTAACAAAAGCCTATGAAAATATAAGGATTTTTAAGTTTATTTTTTACCCAAGTTCAGAAGAAAATAATAAAAATGATAAGAAAAGTCATACTTTAGTTACCTAACTTATTTTTATGCTGCTGTGATTTTTTTAGCACTAACTTTTGATGTAGAGATAAAAGTAATGGTAAACTGCTCCTGTATTTGGCTAGTTAATAAGACAAGTGTCATTGCTACACTTAGAACTTGATGATAGAAAGGAACTTTGAAAAGTGTGCAGTTCAGGAATGCAGGCTTAATGCAGCATGTTCTGCACTTCCTTCTGCACCAATAGAGATTTCTTCATAGACCACAAAAAATCAACATATTTGTTTTGTGAAATTGACCAGATTATGAAAAATTTTTATATGTTATGAAAAAGATTACCTCTGACTTTCAATTTTCAGTTGTATAATGATTAAAATACTGCAACAAGAGAAGGATCAGAATTGAAGGTACTTAAAGTTCTATGCAGTGAACTATAAAAAGCTTTTTTGTAATCAGCTTTTCTAAAAATAAGTGCCTTGTGTGTTTGTTTGACATTATAAAATATACTAAGTGAAGAATATATAACTGTATGTTACTATAATATTTTGCCTTTCATCTGCTTAACAATCATTTAAAAATTAGAATTCCATTTTTTATTGATTTATCTGGGAATTATAGTATACATTTGTAACTTTAAAAAATCTGTTTTGAGTTAATACTATATTATTTCATGTAAAATGTAGAAACCTTGCAACAGTATAGGGTTTGTCTACTCCCCACTTCAGCATCCTTTATGCTATAGTCATCTTACATATGACATATATTCTCCTACATACATTATAAATCCCAGGAGACAATGTTATACTTTCTGTTTAAACCTTGAAGGGCCCCCATTTTATCTGATTTTAGAAGCTACCTGTGTTAATTTAATCCTCTTAATATCCTGTAGTGTGTAGGTGATATTATTATTCTCATTTTGTAGATGAGGGACTTGAGACACAAAGTGCATGGATTTATAGTTTGATCCCGTGTTTGCCTGACTACCCATTCTTAACTACCCATGTCATAGCACCTTGTTTGAAAGTATTACCAGAGGAACATGGAAGAGGGAATGCTTTATTAAGAGGCTTAGGGATGTTTCACTGAGAAAGTGATATTTTAGCTGTTTACCCACTGATGAGTTGCAACTCAACAGGGAAAAATATGGATGGAGAAAACAGAGCCAGAGGGGAGGACATTATAAGTAAAGCAAATGTGTGTCATATGTGTAGAAATACCAGTATGGGTATCTATAATAATAAAAGGGTAATAAGCTCATTAGACCAGACGTCCTTCTGGACGAAGCAGGGCTGGAGGGAAGCCGGTGCCAACATCCGGGGAAAGGAAGGTCTACTCTTGCACGAATTTTGTGCATCAGGCCTCTAGTATATGTATACATATACATATGTGTGTATATATTATATACATATAATATATCTGTATATAGGCTAGCAGTTTCTGGTCACTGATAGAATGGTTGAAAATAAGACTGGTAAGATAGGCTGGCGTCTGAATTGCCTTTACTGCCATGGAAAAACCAAGAAGCCATTGAGGCTTAGAAGCGAATCAATTTATGTATTAATTTACTTGTAAACTACCTTATTTATAAAATATACTTAAGATGGACAGCAATATATTCCCAGAATTAACTACATGTATTTTGTTTTACCAAATAGTATAATTTTATGAGCATTTATATTGTTATATATAAATCTGGGTCCCTAAAGAGAACATCCTGACTTTTAATCTGGAAGCAAGCAATAAAATAGAATCCTTAAATACATATTTAAAAAATTTTGAAGCTATCTGTTTTTAAAATAGTCATCTTCCTCCCTCTCTCAACCCCTTTTCCAGTTTTATTTTTCTAAACATTTTTAAATCTCTATTTTTTTTCCCCCTTTGGTTTGCGTACTGTCTGCTTTTAGTTTAACCTCTTTGCACAAATCGGCAACAGTGTTATTTAGGCTGTTGGCTCTAAGTATCCAGCTGCTCTCAGTCTGTTTTCTCCAGTTCTAACTCTTCTCCTTTTCAGGCTGCTCCAGTTGGATTTCTTTATTCTTCAGAAGTTTTAGATTGACAAGAAGGATCTTGCACCTTTGTAGATTAGGTGGGGTTGGAGTATTTGAGATCAGCCCTCAAATACTGTGTTCCTTTTTGTGTGTGTTAGGCTGCAGAACAAGCAAAAGCAAGCCCAGCTCTGGTAGCCAAGGATCCTGGTACTGTGACTAACAAAAAAGAAGAAGAAGATTTAGCCAAAGGTATGTTTTTAAGTCCCTGATGGTGGCAAAAAGATGGGTTGCTTACTTAATATTTTTTTTCCTGAAATATTTTAAAATAAAAAAATAGCTGAAATCTACTTTGTTTCCCTCAATATCACTTCTTCCTCTTCTCTCCCAATGCGACTATCATGTATGTCTTACTGATCAGTATTTTTACTACACAATTTACCCATAAATATCCATAAACAGTACCAAATACTTTTAGTGTCCAATAAAAATTTTTTGTAAATAGTATACATCTATTTGCAACTGTATTTTTCATGCAATGTTTTGAGATCTATTCATGATTAGACATGAATCAAATTTACTTTTTTTTAACTGCTGTATAATATGCCAGTGTACTAATAAATACACACTGTAATTTATCCTCCTACTGATGGACATTTGGGTTTTCTGTTTTTTATTTTTACTATAATAAACATGCTGCATTGAATATACCTGTATGTGTTCCCGTGTGTGTGTGTGTATTTTGTGTGACTAAGAGTGAAGTGTTGGCTTATGGGGCAGGCATTTCTTCAGTTTTGGTAATAGTTTTATTTTATTTTCCATCATCAGTGTATGAAAGCTATTATTATTTTTAACTTTCTGACAGCATTTGGTCTTGTCACTGTTTAAGTTTTATGAGTATGATAGATTCAAAATGATGTCCCATTATTTTAAATTTTATTTCTTTTACTGCCAGTGAGGTTGAGTCTTTTTTTGTATGCTTATTTGCATTGACTTTCTCTTTTTTTATTGAGTCTCTTTTTAAAAAACATAATGATATGTAGAAAGTCTTTATTTTGCATGCTAATCTTTTGCCTGTTTTATCTATAGTAGATATCTATTCTTTTCTTGATTTTTGGCTTATACTTTAACTTTGATAATGGTGTGTTTTATCAAACAAGTTTTAAATTTTGATGTAGTCAACATTTTTGCTTTTCTGTTATTTTTGCTTTTTTATGTCTTAAGTTGTTCTTTTCCTACTCTAACATCCTAAAAGACATTTTCCTATATTTTCTTAGGATAGTTTTAAAGTTTTATTTTCTCATTAGGTCTTTTATTGATCTAGAACAGAGGTGGAAAGGAAGAAGAGGTTTGGGTTGATTTGAAACCAAGGTAATCAATCCCATAGTGATGGCCTACATGGGGAGAGGAGGATGGAGATAGAGGAGACACATTTGAAATCTATTTTGGGTAATTTGTTAGGTGAGACTTTATTGTAGTTATTTCTAAATTCCAATCCTTAGACTGATTATAAAAGAATTATCTTTGGAGCAATAAAATATAGGTTCTCAGTAATCAGTAAGTCCCCAGTGAGGCTTGAGACTATTTCCCTAGTGATTTTATCATTTTGGGAACTTAGGCTATAGGAATACATTGAAAAGACAAAAGAAAATATATCTGCAACGAAAATTTTTAAAATGGATCTAAGTTTATGTCTTTTAATTACCCAGAATTATTTTAATTGTCTTGTTCAGTGAAAAATAGTCATCATGCAGTTCAATTTTTTTGTTATTTTTTTGAACTTTCAGTTGTGAATGAATGAATAAAATTGATTAAATGATTTTTATTGTCCTAGTTTCCAGCTACACTACTGAGAGAAGAATACTTTTTACCTTCAGATATATTTTTATACTTCTTTGGATTATTGGACATGTTAACATTTTGGGTCTTTTTAAACCCATTATTTTCTAGCCATTGAGCTGTCCCTGAAGGAACAAAAACAGCAGTCCACCACCCTTTCCACTTTGTATCCAAGTACATCCAACCTCTTAACTAACCACCAACACGAAGGCCGAAAAGTTCGTGCTATATATGACTTTGAAGCTGCTGAAGATAATGAACTTACTTTTAAAGCTGGAGAAATTATTACTGTTCTTGATGACAGGTGATGGAACTTTCATGTGAAAAATATATAACATATTACTTCTGTGTTTCATATTACTCCTGTTGGATGCTATCACCAAATGCAATTGAAAAATACTAATCCAGCTATTTTCTTTGTCTGATGGTTGCTTTGCTTATGATATAATGGCTGGATTCTTATTTTGTAGTTTAATTTTTTTCTTATCTATTTAATTAGTTTTAATTTTGGGGGGGAAGGCTTAGTTTAATCTATTCATTTTTGGTTCCATCTAATAATATAGATTGTTAAATTAGTAAAAAAGTTAAGATTTTAGAAAAAATACCAAATATATGTGTATATGTGTATTTATGAAATTTATAATATAAAATATAGTGTGTTTATTATTTAGTGTATTTGGAACAAATTAATTTTACATGGAATTATATGGATTTACGTTATCATAGGAGGGGTGATTCAGTGCATTTGTCTCTTACTACAGCTTTATGTTTATGAAAATTGTTACTGATAATGAAGTTCTAAACTTGGCAAATTAGTGGTTTTAAAAATAAATTCAAATAGATTTAAGGTTATTTCTATAATCTATATATATAAAAGCATAATACGCAAATCAACCAGACGGCGGAACAACTGGTCGGCTATGACGTGCACTGACCACCAGGGGACAGACGTTCAACGCAGGAGCTGCCTCAGCTTGCAGGCCCTGATCACCGGATTGGGGCCTGCTGGTCAACCTCTTGGTCCCTCCCCCCGGCCAGCAGGCTCCGATCGCCCGATGAGGAACGGGGAACCGGGGTTGGGTGGCGGCGAATGTGGGTGGCGACCGGGCCCCGATTGCCCTGCCAGTTGCCCCACACACAGAAGGCGACCAACGGCGGCAGCAGGGGGCAGGGCTGGCTGCCGGCAGCCGGGGAAGATTGGCCCTGACCACAGGCCAGGCCTAGGGACCCTACCCATGCACGAATTTTGTGGGCTGGGCCTCTAGTACTTACTATAATACTAGAGACCCGGTGCATGAAATTCTTGCCCTCGGAGGGCAGGGGTCCCACAGCCTAGCCTGTGCCCTCTCACAGTCTGGAAGCCCTTGGGGGAAGTCCGACTGCTGGCTTAGGTTCGCTCCCCACCGGATTAGCCTAAACTGTCAGTCGGACATCCTTAGCGCTGCTGTGGAAGCGGGAGAGGCTCCCACTACTGCTGCTTCACTTGCCAGCCGTGAGCCTGGCTTCTGGCTGAGCTGCACTCCCCCTGTGGGAGCACACTGACTACCATGGGGCAGCTCCTGCATTGAGCATCTGCCCCCTGGTGGTCAGTGTGCATCATAGCGACAGGTCGTTCCACCGTTTGGTCGATTGGCATATTAGCCTTATGCCTGCGGAATCAGGCCAAAACCAGCTTTCTGACATACCCTGAGTGTTCACAGATTGTGAGAGGGCACAAGCTAGGTCAGTGATGGCGAACCTTTTGAGCTCGGCGTGTCAGCATTTTGAAAAACCCTAACTTAACTCTGGTGCCGTGTCACATATAGAAATTTTTTGATATTTGCAACCATAGTAAAACAAAGATTTATATTTTTGATATTTATTTTATATATTTAAATGCCATTTAACAAAGAAAAATCAACCAAAAAAATGAGTTCACGTGTCACCTCTGACACGCGTGTCATAGGCTCGCCATCACTGGTCTAAACTATATGACATTAAACTGATGGAAGCTGTTAGCAGAGCCCAGCAAGGACCCACGATTCAGAGTCAGAATGATGGACTTGACAATAAGCTAAGTGAGTGGGAGACACTGCCATTCACAGGATGTTCAGTGGTGAAAGGAACAAGAAATCAAGCCCACAGCATCTACTAAATGCAAAAAGATTTACACATGCGCCTTTTAGATAGCAGGCACACGGAACTTCCAATGGCGTGAGGTTCTCAGCAATCTTCCAAATGTAAACAAAAAAAAATGTGTGTTAGCTTATGTTTTTTGTACAGGTCAGGCTCTTCAAACTATTTTTCATGTATTAATTTGTTGCTATTTCACAGCTAGGTTATCAATTGAGAAATACTCTTTTCATATTTTACAGGTGAAAATCCATGACACAGAGAGTTTAAGTAACATTTCCAATGTCAAATGACCGTTAGTAAACTAAGTTGCTGGGATTAAATTCCAAGCAATTTAGCATCAGCGTCCATCCTCTCACAGTGGAAGTTCATCCTTATGGTCCACAATTCAATAAGTTGCACTTTGCAATATTGAAACCCCCTTTGTCAGTCAGGAAGCTAAGACTGGCTTACATGTACAAAGTCCTTCACCCTACATGATGCTTTTACATTTGATTTCCCAACAACCAGTGGGGAAGGGAGAACAGGAAGAACCACACAGCTTACATGAGTTGTCCAAGGCAAAATAGCTTGTTTCCCTCTAGTGTGTGTCTCTCTCTCTCTCTCTCTCTCTCTCTCTCTCTCTCTC